CCGCAGCGAGATGTGTTTTCTTTAAAGTATATAGAAAGAACTATCATTTACTGGCTTGATGTGCTTATCCAAACTTTTACAGACTGGATAAATAAACCATATACTCCATGTGTTCTCTTTTTCTCATAAAAAAAAGTCTGCATTATAGAACTTCTTTCTTTTTAAATTCTTTTCCTTCTTCTGTGTATGTTCAATCTAAAGATGATAATGAAATAAAAATATAGAACAAGAGAGAGAGACTGAGACAGTCTACGGATGGATGCATGCATGTAGTCTTCAAAGAAAATGTTGAAGGTAAGATGAACGTTATCAGCTTAATATTTCAGAAAATGACAAGTTTACAAAACGCCTCAAACTCACTACCATGATCTCTCTTAAATTCTAAAAGGCATAGAATGATTTATGTTATAGTAAAAATAAATAAATGAAATGATAAAAACATCCAATATAAACTTTTTGAACAAATATCTCGTTCTATATAAAAAGAATTTTGTCTCTCGAGGTTGTACTACGTTGGATTCTGATTCTGTACTGATATTAGTTTTAACGATATATGTTCGTTCGAATGCGATGTTAATCAATAGATCGAATATTGCTCATATTTTTCGAAACACCAAAATCTTACGTTTTCTATTTGTTTCAATGAATGGTTTCTATTAACATTTTGGTTTAAAGAATGATCAGGTCTAATTACCTTACCATTCATTATGTTATATTCTCTTTAATTAGGGAGCCACTTAACTTATTATTGTTTTTCTAACAGTTTCATCTAATAAGTAACATTTTCTTATGAATGCTGAATACAGTTTTAATTTTTTTCACTAACAGACTTAATTCAAATTTTGTGCATGGATACATTGAAATTAATCGGGATTAGAGGAAAACTCTTCTTTTTTTGTTAAACTAATCATTTATTTGTTCTTTATGCTGTCAACTTTTATTTGTATTCAATTCACATTTTGTATTTGTTGTGTAATTGTATTAAAGAGAGAGAGAGAGAAAAAAAATTTGATTTTATCATTTTGAGAAAATAGATCGTCTATCGTAATTGACGAAACAAGAAACAAATTGTATTCAGATTGTCAACAGTAGCTAATTTTCACGAGAGTATAAATGAATTAGATCCAGCACCTGTTTTCAGATCATCTGTGTATAAATGATTTGCTTATGGCACTTTTTTCTTCTCTCTCTCTTTTCTAACAAACAACAAAATCGCTTGCATAATCCCATTCTGCTCGGTCTACTAATTAATCGAGTTTGCTGAAGAGAAGAAGAGAAGAGAGAAGAGAAGAAAAAAAAAAGTCACTTATATGCAGAACATTAACAACTAGTATATGCGACGTGTTTTGAGAAAACTTGAACATTATGCTGTTCATATATACTTCTCTCTTTCTATTCTATGCCGATGTTTGTTGATTATATACTTGAAAAAAGAAATACATAGATCATTTATCATTCGTGACAAAAAGCACTTATTGATAAGTAAACGACATTGTTATACGTAAAACGAGGACGTTTTTTTTTTTTGACTTTTTTTCACCACATTTTCTCGGACACATAGCCTACACACACTCATACAAAAATAAAAATGAACTAATTTTTTTTTTCAAGTTAAACATTATATCTATCCATATTGTCCATTCGTTTTCACATAAATAAAATTACTCTAATCATCGATAGAAGAGGTTCAACCATAATAACTCGTTTTTTATTGCTTTACTTTTACAAACATGTCTTGTATTTATTTATTCATATAGGTGAGTAAGTTTTTATTTGTTTTTGAAACGAGTATATAGTCACATTAATCTCAAGTTGATAGAGATTCATTTTACACTCATTGTTAATACAATGAGGAATTAAATTAGATTTAAAGTATCGATATTAGCTAGTTGTAGAGAGTTAAATCATTGTATTTTCCAACGTATTAAGTAATCTATTTCAGAATGTATCATGTGAGAATGGATATATAAACAAGAAATTCGACATGAGAATCATGATTCAATTTCAGTTCCTAATATTAAATTCGTTCATGTCTTTAATACAGAGTTACTATTTTCATTGCAAGATTCATTGAGCGTTTAATTAACTTTTTAGGACTGATGATCTATGAACCTATTGTTTCTACATATATATATATATATATTGCATTTTTTCTTAAAATGATCTGGTATTTTGATTGAAATACCGTCTCCTCCGAGCTGTTAAATGTTTTTATTGTTCTAATAACCACTTGACCGATCGCAGTCAAATTTTTATTCTCATCTTTCATTGTCAAAAACTCGTTCTCAATTTGTTTGTATAATTAATAGAAAAGAATAATGTTCCATCTAGTTTTTCTTTGCTCTTGATTTTTGTTCAATGACTTGTTAAATAGTTGTTATTATTAATTTTGAAACAATATGTTTGTCTCTATAGTGTTTTACTTTTATTATCGTCGAGAGGTAATAAGAGAGAGAGAAAGAGAGTCTCTCTTTTTCGACGAGCCATTTGCCTTGGGAACTATTTCTGTTTTTCTTTGAATATTATTATGTACTACTACTAGTTTTTTTCATCATCCACAATTCTCTATATCGTTCATCTCTACTACAATAACTTGATGCTTATTCATTGTGTATGTAGATATGTACTACTCTTCAATTCTATGTACAGTTAGTTGGTTACTGGAGAAGAAGAAAAAAAAAAGAAGAAAAAAGAAAAACAACTCAAAGTGATTGACCGAATCATGCATAAGTGGCTCAGGGTCAGCTGCTCTTAAATATGATATGAAGTCAATCAACATCCACGTACATTAGACTCCCTTTCCCTCTCTTTCTTGATTCTTTATCTCTACCGCCCGACATTAATTGATGAGAAATTTAGACAAAAGACAAGGATAAAGATAATATTACAGACTTTATGTCTTTTACTGTAATTATCTGTATGGTACATTTTTATCATTAGAGAGACAATTCTTTTTGTAAGCTACTATTTCTGTTATTACCAAACCTATTGTTTGAGGTATATAGATATTTGGTTACATGATAAAACAATGTAGCTAAATAGATAAAATTTTTGTCAACCTTGGTTATATGCGACACCTCAAATGCCTATGAGGTGAGTATAAACCATCTATGAATGATCATACGTCATTATTATTGTTCATTCGACTAGAGAGTTTAGAAATGATCGATTGTTGTTTCATTAGTATTCTTATCTATACTTGATATATTGAATATTATAGTTGTTTAATTGTAACAAGAGCAATAACACGTTTTGAATAGAAAAATACGACTTGTTTTAAATAGGATGGACACTGTGTAAGAGAGAAGATTGGTTTCTCAGTTTGTTGTATATAAACTCGTTTCTTGAGTTAAGAAATTAGTAAAGATTCACTAGTTGATGACTTTTTCAACTAATAGAAAACTACTTTTATATAAGATTTCCCTTGGTTTCCTTTTCTATTTCATTATAAAAGAACAGAGAAACTAAGGCTAAAGAAAAGAATGACTACTCTACATACACTTGAAACATGTTCAATTTTATGTTTTAAAACTCGATCTTGTTAAATATAGTTTGATTTTTGAACGTTTCGGTGTCTCTTGTGATAAGCATAGAGAAATTGTATACGATGAATAAATTATTCGTATAAAAGTCGTTTTCTCTCTGTTGTTGAATTAACTTTTTTTTCTTCTATTATTCTAACATTTTTCAAGGTTTAGACCTTCTGAACAAAAAGCAAAATTAGAATTCATGACACGAATGACATTGTCAGTTTAAATCATTTCATTTTTACAAAAACATATAATTGAAATTCTAGTCCTGTATGGATAATGATTACAGTTTTCTGAAACTAATTGAACATGAACGATACAGATACTTTACAATAAACGTATATTGTTTGATAATGAACGTCTTAAATTTCTTCTCGTTTCGTATTTTTTTTTTTCTATTTCATTTATTGATGAAGAAAATCATATGATGTGTATTAAATCAACAATAAAAATATTTAAAAATAGACTTTATAACTTTTTTTCCAAAATGTTGATTATGTAAATAAAATATAAGTTGTGATGGTGATTAAATATTAATTTTCATTTCAAGGACCGTCTACAACTAATAAACCATAGCCTGCTACTGATCTCAATATTGTCAATATTCAGGGTCACGAAAGAATATGGTGTGTAAGAGTTTTACAGTGTATACGTTCGATTTGCAGTCTGATTAATACATATCAATCTAAACGAAAAATTTTACAAAGCTGATTCAAACGAAACTGATTACAGATTTGAACTTCTTTACAGTCGATTCCGTTGTATGCAAAAAAGTCGAGCTAAAAATAAGTTTTAATGCTGTTTAGTCTCCTTTAATGCTCTCAGAGAACGTCTTAACAATATTATTGGACAAAAAAAGAAATGCGAATAAGTTTTTTTTTTTTTGAAGTATATTGACCTAATATTTGTTGCGTACATCTCGGTTTACAAACTTTATTAAAATTTTTTCTATTAGACTAATATACTCACTAATTTCTACTTTACATTGAAAATATAAGTTCTCTCCACTATTTTTAATTTCTTATTAGAAAACAATTAACATTTTTCAATTTTTTCTTACCATTGTATCTCCTTTTCATATGACGAATTTTATTCTGAGTTTGTGTATACTGATAAGTTTCTTTCTTAATAGTCTCTAATGCACTATATCATATAATTGAATATGGTTATTATTTTCTTTCGATTATATTTTCAATAGTATATCTACATGTACATGTACATGTATGTATACAGATCGTTGTGAACGTGTCAAGATGTTATAAATTAAGACATAATTATGAAAGATAATTTTCAATTGTCCAAAGGTCATCTCATTAATTGTCATTGACAATTGTGATTTTTTTCAAGGATAAACATGAACTCTATTGTTCACTGTCTTATATACATTTTTAGATGTTATTATTCAAATGAAAACGTTTCTATTGATATCATTTCATTTATGTAATGAATAATTGTCTTCTCTTAATATCAATGTTGATCTCTTTATCATCAGCATTAACTACTACATCTACAATTGGAATATGGTCATCTGTCTCGGGATGTACGATTAAACGAAATCGAGATGGTGGTAGTAGTATTGTAGATATACAACATCAACGAATAAATTCGATTAATTTAACATGTAATCGTACGGGAAGTTATATTTTGGTTAGAAATACAACATTTGGTGTTCATTCATCACCCGTAACTTCGAAAGGAGAACAATGTTTATTTAAAAAAGGCGATTGTACAATAAGAACAACACATATTGGAACAGAATGTAATGGATTACAACAATGTGATTTAGATCTTGATCCACAATATCTTCATACATGTAAGTAAACGTTTGCCAGACTAATTATTATAACATCATTATTAAATTTATCACAATCTTAAATTATGTAACAAGGAAAATATGCGACACAAAAAGCTGTCGACATCATGAAAACTTTTCTTTTTAATGGATTCTATGAGATAGTGAGAATCAAAAGAGAAAACTCCATTGGTTTAAGGAAAAACAAAATCGAGATCTTTAACTATTGATTAAAGAATCTTGACTTATCATTTGGATATATATGACTCATCCAAAGCTTTATTAGCATGCTGATTTAGTTGTAGTTTCATCCATTAGTGTATAAGCCTTTAGGTCTTTATCATTGTATGTAAAATGACATACACATAATCAATCAACGATCTTCTTTTAGGTAGTCAATACAGTGATTATGTTGTGTTAGATTATGCATGTTTGAGTGGTCCAAGTATATCTGTATGTGATAATAATCAACTATCAAGTACAAATCATATTTATTTAACAAGTCCGAGTTATCCACAAGAATATAATAATTCATTAAATTGTTCATGCGATGTTGAATTTAATAAGAACAAAACAACAACGGGTTTAACAATCGGCTTTTTAGATTTTTTTCTTGAAGAACGCGATGAATCCGATTTATGTACGCGTGACTCATTAACTCTTAATAATCGTTCTCTATGTGGAAATATTAACGATTTAGCAACACCAAATGATCACGATGCATTCATACCACCAATGTCACAGATATTCAACACAATGTAAGTCATCGAACTTATCTAATTATTTTCCTAGTATGAATAAAGCCGTAAATTTCAGTTGTTTCTTGATCATGAAAGATGCGTATAGAAAAAGTGTTACAGTACTCCGCAAAAGTAGCGACATCCCTGTAACTCAAGAACCATTATAGCTAGGGACTTCTAATTTTGTGTAGTCATAGCTCTTACCGAATGGTGATCACCCACCAAGTTTGAGCCTCGTTTAGTGGATGGTTCGTGAGATATGAGCGATTTCTTTCTTTTCCGTAAAGTATCAATAGCTCCTGACCTAAGGGAGATTAAAACTTTTTCTTTTTATTAAAATGTAGCCACGACTCTACTCTATCTACGACATAAATTTCGTGAGTTGATTGTTAGTAGTCGGTGAAATACAACTATTTTACGGGCTAGGATCGCTTTTTTTTTGTTGAAAATTCGAGGCCCTTTGCGAAAAAATTTCACAACTCAGTTTAGAAGCATCATTTTGACTTCATATTCGTACCAAAGACTCTACGGTGTCTGTAGATTATCTAGTCAACGTATGAAGGTTAACTATTGTGTAGTTCGGAAAATTTATTGAGAATGAACATCCACGATTGAAACATACGCAGAAGAACGAGAGTGAGAAACTAAAGGTCACTCTTTCTATTACACAATCTGCATTCAATGTACATCATAATCATGAAAAAATAACCATAGAAACCTATGGTTTCGAAAAACGTATGTGAAACTTTTATCAGAAAGATTAGACACTTACATCTGACCTTCGCCATTCCACTTATTTTGCGCCCTTTTCACTTCCCTTATATTTTCAAGCAAAACTAATAACATATTTGAGATCAGCGAACAAAACTGGGTCGAATAGCATACTTAACATTCGGTTTTTGAACAAAGACATTTTATTGAAAATTTTCTCTCTAGGTTAACGGTAAGTGTGTAATCTTTCTGATAAAAGTTTCACGTACGTTTTTCGAAACCATAGGTTTCTATGGTCATTTTTTCATGATTATGATGTACATTGAATGCAGATTGTGTAATAGAAAGAGTGACCTTTAGTTTCTCACTCTCGTTCTTCTGCGTATGTTTCAATCGTGGATGTTCATTCTCAATAAATTTTCCG